GGGGGGGGAGTGGCAGTGCATGCAGCTGACGGGTTGCCTGGGATAGGGGTCCCTAAGTCTAGGGGCGCTCTTTGCAGCGGCGTATGCTTTGAGGCTAGGATCCGGATCTGGGGGTGCGATGGGGGGCTCTCTATGTGGCCCGGGGAGCTGATATGGCAGTTCCTTGATATAGGGATTGTCTGTGCATCTAGAAAGCCCCATGGCTGGAGCTCTGGCTTGAGCTTGGAAGGGGCCCTGGGGTGGGGTCCCCGGACTTGGGGGCGCTATTTGCAAGTTTAGAAGCCGAGGCTGGAGTTCGGCATCAGGGCCTGAGGCTGAGGTTCCGATCTGGGGAACCGGGGGTCGCTGTCCGCAGCCCGGCTGCAGGCCCAGAGGGGGGGCCCGGAGATCTTACCTGGAGAGTAGAGCGAGGCCAGTTCGCGGGCCCCGGCGTGCTGCGCGCCCCAGCGCCGGCAATACGCCGCCTCATCCTCGTCGAGTTCCGGCTGCTGACCCGGCCCATCCTCGGCGCCCGCCATGGCCACTCACCCGGCCCGCCCGGTGCGCTCCGCTGGCGGCGGCAGGGCCGCGGAATCGCGGCGAGATCACGCCGCCCAATGACTGCTCAGCGCCCGGCGCGGCGGAGGCGCGGACGGGGACCTCGCCCGGCCGCGCGTCACAGCCAATCGGGGACCGCGCCAGGGCCGCGATGGCCAATCAGCGGCCGTCGAGCCAGCCAACCGCGGCGCCGGGGGGGCAGGAACGCCCCTGGTCGCTGCTGGGCACGGAAGGGTGGGGCGGCGGCGCGTCCCTCCCCGCAGCGATCCGCCCCCGACCCGGGCCCGGCGTCGACCCCACAGGAACGGCCGGCGCGGCGCCGCCCACCTCGCGCTCGGTTTACCGGCCTGTGCAATGGGCCGAGGTCGTGCGCCGCCGGACCCAGAAACAGGCGTTTCTTCAGCACGCACTGTCAAGCGCCTCCTGTGTGCACGGAGCGCGAGTGGAGGGCGCCGGGCCGGGGCCAGGGAGCCAGCGCTTGGTGGACACTTCGAACAGTGCTCCCTGGCTGGGGCTCCCTCTGCCTGGGCTAGCTTCTCGAGCCCTACCGCGTGCAGAGGTTACGAGGACCGTGCGTCCGCCTACTGTGTGCCAGCTGGTGTTGAGCGCCCGCGAGCCTGAGCCCCAGGACCTCCTGTTCTCCAGAGGGAGAGGACAGTAAACTGATGAGAATGACCTTAAGCGTCACTGTAAGATTTGGTGAGCGCTTAGTATCCGTTAGACGCCGGGCCGAGAGCGAGTCAACAGCCTTTCGTTGACTTCTAATAACCAGTGATGTTGCCTCCTCAGAGTCCCCTCCTGACTTCCCTGCTCAGAGTTGCTCCCTCCTCCAGTCACTGTGACATCATCAGGTTTTGTCTTCACAGCGCTTGTCATGGGCAATGAACTTGCAGTTCATGTGTCACCCAGCAGAAAACCAGTTCCTGAGGACCGGGACTTGCTTTGTTCACAGCTGAATCCCCATGTCTGGATCAGCATAGGGCACATGGTAGAAACTCAGTAAACGCTTGCTGAGTGAATTAAGGCTCAGCCCAATGCTTTCATTCAAATCCTTTGCGCATTTAATAATTGGATTGTTTGTCTTTTATTGTTGAATTGTAAGAGTTCTTTATGTGTTCTGGACACTGGACTCTTATCAGATACATGATTTGCAAATATTGTTTCTCATTTTTTTGTGTTTTCACTTTTTGCATAATGTCCTTTGATGCACAAAAATGTTTTTACTTTAAAAAAAAAGTTTTTACTTTTGATGAAGTCCAGTTTTTGTGTTTTTTACTTTCTTTGTGCCTGAGGTGTCATATTTCCTTATTCTTTCTTCTTCTTCTTCTTCTTTTTTTTACAACTTCATGGTATTCCATTGTGTGTCACAGTGTTGGGGGATGGAGCCCCTGCCAGCTTGCCTCAAGTCAAGATCATGTTGATCTGGATTGCTCCATTCATTTATTCATCAGATCTTTACTGAGAATTGCTGTGGGCCAGATACTGTGCGAAATGCTGATGGTACAACAGCAAAAAGATAATCTAATTTCAGGTAAGGACCGATGATGTGGAGAAGTGAAGCAGGCTGCAGAGATGGGTGGAGAATGACAGGGAGTGCTTCATCAGATGAGGAGCGGAGGTGTCAGGAAGGCCTCTCTGAGGAGGTGGCAATTGAGCAGGGACCTGAAGGAAGTGAGGATACCCAGAGAAGATGTGCAGAGGCCCTGAGGCAGGAGCATACTTGGTGTGCTCAAGGGACAGCAAGGAGGCTTATGTAGCTGGAGCAGAGGGTGAGAGGGGAAAAGGGGGAAGGTGGGATCAGAGAGGTATGAAGGAGTCAGATCATTATGCACCATTTAGGCCAAATAAATGTTGAATTAATGCGTGAATGAAAGAGGCAAACAGAGAGCTATGGGAATGCATAGGTAATGGCTACCTACCTCAGGGTAAGAAATCAGGGACAGCTTCCTGGACGAGGGGATACCTGAGCTGACATCTGAAGTAAAGTAAGAACTGGCTGGGGAAAGGGAGTCAGGTGAGGTATGAGGGTCTTCCAGACACAGGGAATAGCATGTACACAGACCCAGGGGTGAGAGATTGTTTTACTCACTGAATTGAAGAAAAAAAACAATCAGCCAGGCTGGAGTATAGCATGAGAGGAGAGTTGTAGAGAAGAGGAAGATCCATGGGGGCTTGGGCATGCTTGGTGCCCTACACAGGAATCTTGACCTTTCCAAGGGCAGCACCAGGGTGCCCCGCAGAGTTGAAGATCCAATTTGTGCTTTGAGAAGCTACCTCTAGCTGCTGAGAGGAGGTGGATTAGAATGAGGTGAACCTAGAGGGAAGGGAGATGAGTGATAAGGGTCCACAGGGATGATGGGTGAGGGGGCTGGAGGTCAAGGGAGGCTGCGATGGGGGCTCGTGCCAGCGGACTCTTTCTCCCACCTCTTTATGCATCCTCTTCATCCATCTGAGTGTGCTTACGCTGGGTGAACGTTTTCAGCGTCTGCCCCGAGCCGGCCCCGTGCTGTGGGCTGAGGGACCTGTGGGGAATAGTCTCATTCCTGAGAGATGTTCCTTAGTGACACACAGGGCCCTGTGTTGAGGAGAATGTTTGAGATCCTATCTCAGGCATATTTACGTAGGCTCCGCACAACACAAATTGACTGCAAAAATGAGCTCCACTCTAATTTTAATTTTTACAATTCATTTATTCTCCCAGCAAATATTTATTGAGCATGTATTACAAGGCAGGACTTGCTCTAGGTACTGGAAACATAACAGGAAAGAAAGAAGACAAAAATCTCTGCCTCCTGGAGTTGACACCTGGGGGGTGGGAAGGGAGATGGACAATAATCACTAACAACTGAACTATGCTGACATGCTAGGGGGTGATGGCTGCTTTGGAAAAAACAACAACAACAACAACAACAACAAAACAAAAACAACAAAGCAGGGTAAGGAGGGTTGGAAGCTGGGAGGTTGGAGGGCAGGTTGAGTAGTTAACGAGGGTAGCCAGGGAATGCCTCACTGAGAAGGTGATAGACTAAAGATAGAAGGTGAGCAGATTAAAGGAGGGGATGGAGGGAGCCATGTGAGACTGTAGGGGAAGAGTGTTCCGGACAGAGCCAAAAGCCAGTGCAGAAGCCCTGAGGTGGGAAGGAGCCTTACTAGCTTTAATGATTGACTGAATGTATGAGCTGTTAAAAAAAAGTGGACTTGGGGCCCACAGGGACCATAAAAGTTCCAGGTTGTAGCCTAGCGGAAGGACCAAGGGCGTCAGAGTTTCCTGGCTGTGAGAAGAGTCTCAGAGACGGGGGGGCGGGGGGGGGGGGCTGCTGTGCGGTCAGGATGCCAGCTATCCCACTACCCCTAGAGGCTCTGTGTGCCCAGCCAGGCTGTTTGCTCCCTAAGTCAGTCTACGGGAACATCTCCTTCCCATTTCCCCTGTTCCCAGCAGGGCCTCCTACCTGGAAGGAAGTGCCCCATGCTGTGCTCTGGCCTGCTCCAGGCTGTTTGCCAACACCCTGAAGGTACCTGCCTCCTGACCCTGCCACCACCACAGGGCATGGCTATGGACAGGAAGGCCTCCTTCCCTGGAGGGTCATGGCCAGACTGCACTGGCCAGATGGTGCATAGCCATCCCCAAATGAAGCCTTCCTTTTTTTCTACATTTTAAAATGTTTTATTGTATGTGTGAGTCATGGGGATGGAGACATCTGCTTCTGGATGCCTATGCCCGTTCCCCCTCCTTCATGGAAACAATACTCTGAATTTTTGGAGGAAATCTCTCTTGCCTGTTTTCTCAGCCTGTGGATTGTATGGGACAGACTCCACTTCTTTAATATAAGCCAAGCGACATTGTCCAGCCACCTGGGACGTGGTGATTGGTTCGGAGATGGGTGTGTGACTTCAGATGGCCCAATCAGAGTGAATTTCAGGATCCTGCCATGGAATTTCACGGATCCAGGAATCCAAGCATCTTGGGACATAGATGCTTTTTCCCCATTGATGTGAATGAGAAAGCAAGTCTCATCAGACTCTGCTGGCAGCATGAAGGGGTCATCTTTAGGGTGCATTCCCTGGAGCAGGCAGAGAGGAAAGACCAAGAGAAACCAGGTCCTTGGTGAGATCTTTGAGTGGCTGGATCAAGCCTTACCTGAAAGTGGTCCTCCCTTTCCAGTCAGACAGACTTAGGTTTAAGTCTCAGCCCCACCACTTGTGTGTTGTGTGACCATGGGCAAATTATTTATTCTCCCAGGATGTCAGTTTCCTAACGTGGAAAATGGGGATAATAAGAGTATGCCTGCCTTGCGGGGTTGTTGTGAAGATAAGCTAATAAATACATTGTGGTTAGAAGAGTGCCTGGCAATAAATTTTAGCTATTGTTATTAGCATTAAATAAATACCCAGAGCAAACCTTACCTGAACTGTGTGTGATCTTCTTCTGGACTTCAACATTTTCTGGAAACCAATACATCCTCTGTTTTTATTTTACATCTTTCTTACTTGCAGAGTGTAGGGATCAAGATCAGGGTGGGACTGGGGAGAAAGGGTGGGGGACTGGTGTTTGCAAGTGGCTGTTTCTGTGTGCTGGATATTTTAAGTACACTTGCTCTTTGACCTCATTTTACAGGAAAAAAAACTGAGGCTCAGAAAAGTTGACTTGCCCAAAGGCGAGTAAGATTTCATCAGGGAGAAAAGGTGAGGGACGGTATGTTTGGCAGCAGGCATGGCAAGATCAAGGGCCATGACGTGTTAATGTACTCGGTGTACTATTAAGGGAACAGGAGTAATTCGGAGTCCAGGGAATAAAAGATTAAAGCCATGTTTTAAAAACTAGAATAAAACATAGGTGAGTATGACAAGATCCTTTTAAAATCGTAATTTCTAAGATAATTTTAATTTTACAGAGAAGTTGCAAGAATAGTGCAGTAAGCTTCCATATCTCCTTCACTCAGATCCCCCAATCATTAACATTTTGCTACACTTGATTTGTCATTTTCTCTGTGTTGTGTATAATTTTTCTGAACCATTTTGAGAGTCAGTTATAGACGCGATGTCCTTT